TGATTTGTCCTCCTCCTTCCTTGGTGTCACGCACTGGGCTTTGCCTCCCTGTGTCGAATGGAGGGACACACTCCTCTGGCTTCCTAGAGAGATGGATCACTGGCTGTTAGGCAGACCAGGGGTGAACTTGTATTATTTCATGTTTTATTTTTGTACAGCAGTTAGTTTACAAGGTGTGTTTTGTAGGATATGCAAAAACACAGAAATAATAGCAGTTGAGGTGTTTATGCCAACGTCCTCTGTAGCATGCATGTTCTCATTTGTGGGACTTCTGTCTGGAGAGAAGTCCACGCTGAGATGTATTCCAGTCCTAAGACAGCAAACTTCTGTAGCCCTAAAGATGTTTGTTCGGCCCCTGCATTTAAATATCACTGACTACAGACTGGAGGAAGGGGGTTAATATTGGTAATGTCTGCCTTGAATCTCATGAGGCTGAATAGGAAGAACAGTACATGGGAAGAGGCATTGCTGTTTGGTTTACTCAGCCTTTGGGAAGTTTACAAATTTGTGGCCGCTGCATGGCTGTGAGATGATCAGTGTGAGATGAGTTTGATGTTTGAATTCAGTTTCCAGCGGGAAGTTTGTATTTCACAAAACAACCTGCATGGTTGCTTGTTTGGTAGCTAAGAAGAGGCCAAAGATAGAAAGGCTTTCAAGGCTGGATTCATATTTTATTCCTTCTGGTCAGGGGAGGGGAGTGGCAGGGAAGAAATGTATGTACACAAGAGCTTAGTCTCTTCCAAACTGGAAATGGTCCTCAGAGAATTAGAGACCTGTTTGAGTAGGGCTGTGTCTCCTGAGCTGGCTGTGTGCCTGGGTCCTGGAAGTGATAGCAGTGAGTGCACGCACACCTGCTGCTTGTAACAGGAAGGATATTTCCTTGTAGCCCTCAGAACATGTACGCTCCTGCCCCTCCGTAATGCACTGGTGCACAAGGAGCACATCCACCACTGTGTGTGTTCTACTCACTTGCCAAGCAAGAGAGAAGTTGTGGTGGGGCAGGCATTGTGTCTGCATCTGTGCCATGGTTTCTTCACAACCTGGGTAAACCACCTAAAAATAAATAAATAAATAAATAAAAAATTGTTTGCCTAGCTGTTGCCCTACTAGAACAATCTTGCTTTTAAGAATGGGTCTGTGTTAAAGGAAGGGCCATACTCAGCTGGTGCCTTTAAAACAATTTTTTTTAAAAAGACTAATGGGGAAAACTGGATGATTATCATGAGTAAAATATACTCCTCTGACACAATGATCTTGAATTGCTCTGAGTCCTTCGTTCTTTGCTTTGTTCAATGCAAGTAGGTCCCCATCGCTAGCTTCATCCCTATCCCTTGAGACTGTGCCTACCCCAGAGAAATTCATTGCCATAGATGCCAGCTGTTCCCACTATTGTCCCATTCAAATAGCAGTGTTTTGTGATTGAGATGCAGCATATGAGTTCTCTGTTGGAAATCAGTTTGCTAAATTAGATACTGATTTAGTATAAATGGTTTAGAAGTTTAGCATCAATGCATGTGTCATTAAAACTGTTCAGGTAGCCTTTCTGCCACTGTCCTATAGTGCAGTTTTTGAAATCTCTCCAGAAGCTGCTGCATGGAGATAGCGCATATCACTTATTGCCTCGATCATGAGGATCATGTTGCGCATGTATATACTGGTGCAGTGTCACTGGTTCAGGTCTTAAAGGTGTGGCCTTTCTTTTTATCCTTGCAAAACTTTTCTTCAGTCCTCGAGTGATCAGTCTTCACCCAGTGGCTGTGCGCATACCCTGTCACTTGAAACAGGAAAGAGTTTTTCTTTGTAGCAGTTATAACATGCTCTTGCACCCATTATTGTCGCTCAGTATGTTGGTATACAAGGCAGAATATGCTTGGCACCCCTTCAGTACTCATTTGCCCAGGAGAAAGAATAATTCATAATTAACTTTCACATGATTCATCTGCTTACCTGGTGCCTGACTTTTTTTTAGTCGTAGGCTGGTTGTAAACACTGCTTTGTTTTCTGCAAGCAGCTATCTGTGATAGTAGTCTTTGCCGTGGTGATTCCAAGTAACTCTCTACCTTTACCCAGCTGTGGTGAAAGATGCTGCCAGTGGTTCCTGTTGCAGATATCTTCATTGTTTTGTTCTAGGCCACATGTCAGCCACAGGAGCATCTGCTGATCTAGGGCAACCTTGCCCTAGAAGGTTCAGAAGTCGCTCCTGAAGGAAGTTTGACCTTCATTTGCATCCTGGTGCCAGTGAGCAAGACACCAAGTATAAGTGCCCATATCAACAACAGTAATGTTAAAGTCTATCTCCTAGAAGAGCTCCAGCTCCGTCAAAAAGATCCAGTGCCTCCTTCCTGCCCAGGCCATTAGCTTGCTCTCTTAGTTCTTGTGGTTCCTGCTTCTGACTTCCAGTGAGGATGTTAGACTAGACAAACTGGCACTGAGGGCATCTGTGCCCCCTTCATAGCTGGTGCAAGTCAACACTTGGCAGTGAAAGACTGTCTTTTATTGAGCTTCAGCAGTTTTGGATTATAACGCTATGATTTATGCAACTTCCAAACCTCTTTGATGCCATTAGTCTGTGGAGGTTGCTGAAGAGATTTCTCCCTTTTGGCTATTCAGAATCTGTACTGAATGTCCAGTATTGTTGGTTGTTTTGTGTTTTTTCTGGATGATGGGAATGGGAAGTATCCTTGTCCCAAATGGTGCAGTATACAGTTGTGAAGTAGTCATGTTTAATTCGTGAACCTTCTCTAATTAGCTGGCAAGATGAGTAAAACAGAATTATCTGAGTGCGTTAGGCAGCTGTATTTAGTGTGCTGTTTAGTATAGTATGACAGAAGGCCTCCAAGTAGTGCGGGGTATTAACTTGTTGGGTGGTGGAAAAAAGCTGGCACAAGAAAAGCTTGGTGAATGGGAGGCTGCCGCCCTTGAGATGCAATCCTTTGATCTTTTTTTCTGGGAGAGTGTGTGGGAAAACAAGCACAGTAACATATACTGTCCAGTAAAAGTGAATGTATGAGACAGGCCAAGGAGAGGACTGTGGCATGGTGCCATTAGAGGTCACAGCAACCTACTGCTGTTGGAGAAGACTCGGAAATAGCATTCCCATTGGAGAGGGAGTCTGCTGCCAATGTGGCAGAAGGAATCCTTCAAATGAAGGAAAAAGAACCACTAGCACTATTTTGATAGCAAAGGAAGTTGCTTTTTCATTATGAATAGCCTCTTTACCTGTCCTACTCCGAAGTGTGATCTTCTGAAAGTAATCACAGAGCCCTGCTTATAACAGTGGTTGGCTGAGCCATCAGTAATGCCAAATGGAAAATGACCTCAAATCTACAAGTAACCATCAAAGGTTTTCTGTCCGTCACCTTTGCTCCCCCACTTTGTGTCTCACCAGGTTGTTGTCAGGTCCTGCATTACTGGGCACACGGACTATCTCCAGCTTCTGTGTCTATCCCATACCCTCAGCCTATGGTTTCTACAAAGTAATGCCATGCAGGTAGTAAATAAGAACAGAACTCCTTATTTTATAGGGACTCCTCTAATTGTGCCAAATGCAGTAAGCAGTGTCTGCCAGGCAGATTATTTTATGTTCTTTGTAAACGATCAGTGGATATCAATCTTTTTAATATTCCAGTATCATTTTTAGTCTTTATTAAATAAATGAGGTTTATTTACTCCTTTTGACTGGTTGTTCCCGAAGAACTTTGAACTAGTTGGCCCCTATGCTCAGGGGATTGTATGCTAGGTATTTATAATTGTGTGAAGAGGGTGGAAGCAGATTTATTGTTCACAGTCTTTTCTAGTATAAATGAAGCTAGTAGAAGCCAGGTTCTAAACCAGGAGGAGAAGGAAATGATCGAAAGTCCACATGGATCCGAGGGGATTCTGGTTGAGCTCGTAGAAGAGAAATCACTGTGGGTTGCCAGATACATAGAAACTATACCTTGCTCGTGAAATCCCTGTTATCCCAATTATTTGAAAATAATTAAAAGCTCAAAGAGTATTTCAGGGTGTTATGTCTGTTTGCCTTGTTCTTAGGCTCCTCTTAGACATCTGCTTCAGGCCACAGTTAGAGTCAGAATTTGGAGATAAATGGACCTTTTGTCTGACCCAGTGCAGGCATTCTGGAGCTGCTGGTACGTTTGTAAAACCAGACTAGCCAGAGCGTTGCTGCCTCTTAGCCCTGGGCAAGACATGGCGAAGGAGTTTGAAGCTTTGTGGGGGAGAGGTGGAGAAATTAGGGACAAAGGACCAAATCTAGCAGGAAGCAGACTCTGCAATTTCCATAGTTTGTAGAATTATTTGTGTGTGATCATTGTGCTTCTATAATTTAATAAATTTAATTTGGGTTTGTGTCTACCTCTGCATAACTTGTATCATCTGCTGGTATACATCTGCAGTGTTCACTGGCTATCAGTTTAGGCTGTGGTTCCATGGGCATTTCTTTAGGCAGCTGTGATGATTTCATTAGATTCTGCCAGGATGAAAGCTGGGCTGAGGAACTGAACCTAGGCTACAACTAACTCAGCACAATAAAAAGGATTAGTTTTAACCAGAATCTGTTCCTATATCCAGTTCGCTGCTCAGCTGCATAAATACTTGTATGAAAGCAAGCACTGGCAGTGGCATTAGCTTTTTCATGCCTGAAGTGTTTGTGGAACTGCGAGGTCAGGGAAGTGGGTGCAAAACTGCTACCTTAAACTGTACTAGGTTTTTCCCTTTCACCCTTTCACTTCTTTCTCTCTCTGCTGGGGTAAGCAGTAACAATAAGTTACTTGCACCCTGCATCAGAATTTAGCACATAAAATACCTTTGCGGTTTGTATGTAAAGACCGTTGCCCAAAGAAAACTGGAATATGTATGTAAGTTTAAGTGTTTACTCCTACTAATGTGAACGTTGCTTCAGTTCCTTGGAGTAACTGCTTCAGACTGCTTTATATCACTTTGTTTTTTGCTTCTATTAGAAGTGAGAACTTCTTCCTAATGCCTTCTTCCTTTCTCCCCAGATAATCTGATAAAAGCCATCCTGTCAGCAACCAAAGATTACCGCCTAACTCCAGCTCTTGACAGGTAAGATGAGACCTTTCAGAGTAGAAGGAGTAATAGTGATTATTTTCCACATGGCCTAAATAAATTTTGCGAGAGACTGGCTGCGCCTTAGGGGCAGGTGAGGAGCTGAAAAGAGAGTCCTCTTTCCAGTCAGTCTGTAAGCCTTTGTCAGGTCAAACATAAGAGAAAAAAAGCGTTTACCTTTCAACTGTTTTCTAAGCTTTCATTTAATATGGTGTCACAAAACAGACTATTGCCTGTTTTTCAAGTAAGTAAATAGCAGATTTTCAATAAATACATTATTCTTTTTCAGCCACTTTGACAAAGCAACAAGATCACAGGAAGCTCTTTAGAGGGAAAGGAGGGACTGGCTTGTTTTAACAGTGTTTTGCTAATACCTCACTCTTAAAGCAGGAATGTGAGATTGTGTTGGCCAGGCCTGTATCAAGATGTGCTAGCAGTTATCCTGGGTCCTGAGGTATTTGAATTGATGCCTTTAGAAGAAACTCCTTTGATTTTTTTCAGTCCTATTGTAGAGCTTGCTTCAAAAACTCACCGACATGTTTATGATTAGCTTCACAATGATAGATGGTAGTCCTTTCCAGCCTTGCTTTTCCTTCCTTCCTTCCCTTTGCCCCTTCAGTTTTGGTTTAGTGCCACCTCCTGGATTAGAGGTAGTTCTTTTCAAAAGCTGTCAGAGGCTTTTACTAGGACATGAGCTCTTTTCAAAGTCCTGGTGCAGTTCCTTTCAAAGCAGTGGTCCTTTCCTGAACCCAGGCTAACAACAAAGCTTCTGCTTTCCAAATACATTGTTTTAATTTCCTGGGCCAGCTCCCCTTCTGCCCACTTTTTCATGACCAAGTTAATAAGCTTTTCTAGTCTTTCCGTAGTTCTCCACATCTCTCATGTCGATGGTAGAGCTTGTCCGCTGTAGTTAGAGTTGAGGGTTGTTCTCGATGTGAAAGTTTATTCTTAGTTGTTTGCAATCCATGTGCTGGTTTAGGTTGCTTTGATATTTGTATAGCCAGATAGGGCATTGTAGGTATTGCTAGCAGTGCCAGATAGGGTTAGCCTTCAGAGTTTGGACTGATTTTAGAAATGATGTCCAAAAGGCAAAATTGCTTTACAGGTGACCTTCTTGGAGATTTTGCACACAACTGAATCTCGCCTGTTCAGGGTTTACCTCAGCTCTGATTGAAGAGTTAAAATTTTATCTGTTTGAAAAAACACACATAGACTCTTTCAGAAGTTTGTTCCTGGGAGGTTAGTGTTAATGACATAGAGGAAAGTCTGAATTGCAATCAGACTTCATGTAGTTGTGACTCTTGCTTACTCACCTTTTTTGTGAGGAGTGGAAAGGGTTTGTTTGAAGTTACTGGTTATTTCCTGGGAGGCTGTGATACGTAGCCGCTCTATCGTGAGCTACTCACATTGTTTTCACATTCTTTATAATGTATTTGGTGCAGAGATAGAGAAGTTCTAACACTCAGGTCTTTGTGAAATGCATCTTATGTTAAAACCCCTGAGATATCAAATATGGAGGAGAACTAAGGAGCAGGCTAAAAACATAGTTCTGTAGTATTACAGTGTCAAGTTTTGTTGTCTGTGCCTGTAAACAGACAGATACCTTTGGGAAACAGTTCCCTCAGGAACTTTTGTGATAAATGCAAAGTACTGATGATGCTTGTGTAGGACGCATTCCTTATGTCAGCCTGAAACACAAGTAGGGGGAGTGCAGAGTGTCTGCTGGAGTTGTGCAACCTGTGTATGCTGGCACTCTCAGGGTGCAGGGCTATTCAGTTGAGGCCAAATAGGCCTCAGCTACTGTTGGAGAAGGGTTAAGGATATCTCCTGAGTTGATAGGAGTAGGCAGATTGCTGGTAGCTGCTATCGTCTCTGTAGATTGTTTCCCTAGTTCTGTGGGACAAATGGGTCACATCATACATCTCTGTGTCTCCTGGGCAGCATGTGCTCCTTTTCTCAAATGAGGTGAAAGTAATTCAAGTCTCATTTCTCACATGTCTCCTGAGCCAGCCTTGGATGAGGATGGCAGCAGTGAGGATGAGGATGCACACCCTTGCCTATCTGATTCCAGCTGCTGCATACACTGCTAACAGCTGAATGTCTCCTATAGTCCTGCCAAGCAAGTAGGTCTTAGAGAGGAAAGATTGAAACTGGTATGGGAGGAAGAGACAAGAAAGGCTTGGGGTAGCAAGCCATGAAGGGAGAGCCTAAAGCTGTAGGTAGATGGAATTACAGCAGACAGATTATTACAGGGAAGGGCTTGGGGCAGCGTAGGAGGCAGTATGGGTACCTCAGTGCTGTTCTTGGAAACCTTCTTGATGGTCATAGATGAAGACTTGGGTGTGCTTTCCAGAAGGTTCTTCAGCTGTGAGCACTTAATAAATTACAGTGCTGGCAGCAACAGGTGTTTGCTCTTTTGGATTTCAGAAGAGCCGATGGAGCTCTTAGGTACTTCTTCATCTTATCTCAAGCTCAAAGGTGCAGCCAACAGTTCGTCTCTGTGGTGGCTCTTGTGTGCTAGAAGCAGAGTCTTGAGTTTCTGATCTCTCCCTTACTGCTCCCTAGTCAGGGACAAAGTCCAGACCTCCCCACTTTGCTTACCCCTAGAACAATGGCGAGGGGCAAACTTGAGGGCTGAAAAAATGCCTTATTGTGACAGAGTAAGATAAGAGATGTAAGTGAAGTCTGAAAAGCGACCTGTTTGCAGTTTGTACTTCCCTGTTTTGTGCAGGAACATTCAGAGCTCCCTTTAAGCTAATCAGCACAGGCAGGACAGGGCTTTTTATTTGGAGTGCAGAAAAGACAAATTTGAAGAGAAGTGAGGGAGAAGGATTTAGCTCTGAGGAATATTAGTCATGGGAAATGTTAGGGTCCTCCATTTTACTTTATAGGTCAGATGTTTTTTTTCTGGAGGATGCTTTTGGCAAAGACAAGCTATTGGCTCCATGTAGGAACAAGAAGTTGCTGTTTAATGGCTTGTGATGTACAAGGTGTCGTACTAGAAGATCTTAGGAACCCTTCCATTTGTAGGCTCCCTGAAGTAAGTTGATTCTAGCAGTAGGAGAAAAGCTCCGGGTTTACCTTCTCCACAGGATGGAGTTACCCCAAAGTTTTCTCTGTTGGCGAAGCCAGTTTGAAAAGTTACCATTGCTGCTGCTTCCTGCTCTCAGGCTGTAGTTTGAAGGGGGAATCTAAACTGGGTCACTGAAATGATTCCAATTTAAAAGTTTTTCTCTTAACCTGGGTCATTTCAGTGACCTGGTTTAGAGAGCTCTCTTCCCACTGGAAAGTCGCAGTGGCACAGCATGGGAATTGTAGCATGGGAGGGAGAGGGCTAGGGATGGGTGGAGAGGGTGAGCACTTCTGAATCTATTGTAGCAAGTGTTCATGTAACCACATGCTGAGCACAGCTTTCCTGGGGGAAGGGTGGGAGAGGCAGGGGAGGTGAGGTCAGAGCAGTGCGTGAGAGCATAGGAAGGAAAGAGGGGATTAGAGTTGTATAGTGGGGGATCTGCAGAGAGCCTTCTTGTCCCCACCCAAGCTTTTGCAGCTCTGGCCTCCCTCACAAAGCTTGTCCTTTGAGATGCTTCCTTCACATACCTCTCAGAAGCCCTGGAAGTGACCTTGTTTGCTTGATTATCCCTGTGCCAAAAGGGCATCCTGATGCACCTTTCCTGACACGATGTACCAATGTGGTGCTGAAATGAGGCAAACTCGATCCTTCCAGGTATGCATACACCCTTCATCATCAGAAAATAGCTTTGCCAACTCACTATAACTAATCCCTCCATTGTAAGTAGAGCTGTGTTAATAACTAGCAGCAGCTGGAGGGCAAGTGAACAAACACTGGGATTCGTGTCTGTAACACAGTGCAAATGATGCCATCCTTTCTTAGTTGTTGTTCATGTCATCTTGTTATGGCACCTTCTTCTTGAACTGCTTCTAGTACCTGCTGCTGCTCCAGGGTTGGAGGCAGGTAAAGTTGCAGTTGTGTTTGTGAGGGTAGTTACAACGCAGCTCTGAGCTTTTCTGGAGAAGACCAGAGATCAAGCGGACCTTCTCTAGAATTAGTGTCCTCTTCTTTCAATGCCAGCATATCTTTCTCCCTAAAGCAGGTGCTGATGGGGTCTTGTCTTTGACAGGTCAGGGCTCTGCCCTCTGTTGGCTTTTCCAGGCCTGTTTATATCCCTGACATTTTTGCTGCTTCCTTTAGTGGCTCTTCCGGTTTCCTGCCCCTCATTCTGCAAATCGCTTAGGGCTTAGTTTCTAGTCTCCCAGCTCTTTTGCTAGCTGGACTCGAGTGTTTTCTTGATTTCGGTTTAAATCACTGTGGTGATGCCTTGCAAATTTTACAGGAAATACACAACATGATCATTCAGATTTTTATATATATATTGTTTCAAGGTGGTGATGAAGGCAAACTGTGAGTTTGAGCTTATAACTAAGATGAGTCTTTACTAAAACAGTGTATAAACTAGTGAATGAGGAAGGAACTTGGCAGCGCAGGAGATGTGTGCTCCCTTCTGCCTCAGGTTCTAGCACCGGTTTACGTAGCAGCAGCCGGATCAAACCAGAATGTGCTAAGCCTCCCAAAGCACCAGTTCCCCTTAATATTCCCCTTTTTTAATATTCTGTTATATCTTTCCCCAAAGCCCACAGTTCCAAGGTTGCGTAAAGGAAGGCTTTGTGTTTTGTTTTTTGTTTTTTTTCCCCCTAACAAATCCCTAAAGCACTTTGATAAGAGAGGAAGTAGCAATTGATATAATGCCTACATGTGTTTACAGTGCTTATATTATTCAAGATCATCAGTATGAATCCCAGTTTTCATGTAGATGAGCTCAGACCCCTGTGAGCATCTGTGTCGGGGGCTGCACATCTGGCTCAGGCTCTCAGCTTAGGGCTTTGGGGGATCTGGTGGGGAAAGTCCATGACCCGCCTTCATACCACCCTGGTAGCAAACTGGAACCTGGGCTGTGTCCAATGTGCTTCAGGACTTGAGCTCTTCTGGTAAGGAAATACGGCTTTGACATAGTATGTAAACACGCAAAAAGGTATTTGCACATCTCTTTGTGGAGGAACAATTGAGCTGTGTAACTGATCTTGCATGGTACGTTTCTTTAGCCAGAAACTTACCCAGAGCCAGCAGTGACTTTGCCAGTTGCCTGCACCAGCACTCAATCACCATCAGGCAGCGCTCACTATGGAGGAGTCCAGCTACACCAGGGCCGAGTGTCTGAACTTCTGATTGAGATGTGAGGTCAGGTACCTGACTTCCCTGCCACATGCATCCCTTTTGCAGCGGCAGCAGGGTTGTCTCTCTGCCTTCTCACTGTTCCACAAGGTGATTGACAAAGCTGGTGAGACCAAGGCAGCTCACCTTTCTGCTTCTGTCTTAGTCAAAAAAGTCCCGGCTGCCAAGGCTTACTGTGTGTGCCTGACATGCAGAACCCAGGCAAAGTCCAAGACTGACCTTGTCTTCATCGTGCGCATCTGAGGAATGATTTCTGCACCTGAATACTGCCTTCTGGGTTTGCAACAGAGACGTCAGGCTTTGTGATGAGCGAATGCAAAGTACTTTTGAAAGAAATGTAAGCAATTAGAAGGTCAAAGATAAGGCCTTAGTGTCAATAAGATACTAATGAAAAATCTGTGATCTGCAGGTTTAAAGAAAGAGGAGGCTGCAGGTTTAAAGAAAGAGGAGGAAGTATTTAAATATATCAGGACCAGCAGGATATAACAGTGGTTCAGACATGAAGCTTGGCAAAGATGATTATCAGTTATGATGAAAAGAGGCAGAACCGTTCAGTTAACTATTTCTTTCATTCTTTTCTATAGAAATAGAATGAGGCTGTCTCATTCTACAGCAACAACGAAATATTTTGTGCATTTTTATCGGTAACTGTGAGGTTATTAAACGGCAATTGTATATATTTTTAAATCAGTAAGTACTGATGAGTATTTAAAGAGTTAAGTAAGGAGTTCTTTGCAGTATTAGTGTTTGCTTTTTAACACATTTTGGAATGTTGGATGGAAAAGCAAATGTGGTGCCATTCCTAAAGAAATAAATGTGATGACAGAGGTAACTAAGTTGATTAGCTTGGTTCTGCAGAAAGAATCCTGGAAAACTTCACCTGGGACATAGTCAGGATGGCAGCATAATTGATGCCAGTTAGCTTGGGTTTTATGGAAACAAAATATTGTTATGCAAATGTGATATTTTTGAATTGAACTCGAAGCTTGAATGATAAAGGTAACCTTTTAAAGATAGGTATTTGTTATTTGTCTCAGTCCAGCACTTTACTGTGATTTTACACAACATCATTGTAGATATATCCTGTTCCGAAAAAGATAATATGTCACACAGCTTTAAAAACGTGTTGTCAGGGTTGGGAATTAATCCTGTAGTGATAATTCTAGTGTAATCCTGCTGGAAGGTGTTCTCAATGGTTAGTAGTGATCTGGAGGAAGTATAAAATTACTCTAGAAAAATTTGCTAGGGCCAAAGACCAGGGCAGTAAGGAGTAGGAGGGTCTGATCCATCTGGACCTCTTCTTAGGGATATCTCCTGAGCAGCACGTTCCTTACTGGAGCCAAATCAAAAATCTGGCATCTCAGAGGTGAGAATGCAGGTCGTGCTTACAGGATGAGGATTATATTCTGCAAACTAAAGACTATGAAAAAGAGCATCAAACTGATGTATATAAAACATTTCCATATAAGAAGGACCCTGCTTTGAGCAGCGTTAGCTCTGCATACTAGTGTTCCAGAGTTAGTGCTTCAGAAATTTTGGGAGAAGTTGAAAATTGTTCAGAGAGGTCCTGCAAAGGTGACTCAAGAGCTAGGAGAGCTGCCATAGCATGAGAGATGTGATGAACTTGCTCCACTTGGTCAAGAGAAAATTAAGAGCGGGCTTTGAGTCTTGTAGTACTATGTGGGAACAGTGCATAAAGAGAGGCTGAGGGAAGGGCTTTGGCTGGCAGAACTGATTCTTTTACCTCATGCACAGAGGCTGATGCTCACCAGTCCCGTTGACTGATTATCCACCCAGAGGCAGATGTTTACATGCAGTGGTTTGTCAGTGGGTGGATCACATGCAGATGTGGAGGGGACTGCTGACAGTAGATGGTGCTTTAATTTAGCAGAACAGGGAAGAATGCAATTAAATGGTTTGAGGTTGAAATGAACGCATCTATATTTAAAATTGGTAAAAGTTAGCACCGTAACAATAAGAAGGGAAAGGAGAAGAGGGGAGTCTCCATCACTTGTAGCCTTTGGATTTCAGCAGAACATTTTTCTAAAAAGTCGTGGCTCACAGACAACTGGAGAGAGAAATCCCGGTATTTCATTGAGCAGTCTGTTCTCTAGGCAGTCACACTAGCTTATCATAATCATCTGAACAGCCTATTGTCATCTGAAACTTCATCTGGCCAGAGCTGAGCTATGCATTTTTTCCTCCTGCAGCCCCATTTCCTTAAAGTTTTTGGCAAAGCTGTTGTCATGTCTGTCACTCAGGTGCATATATTTGGGACTGATTCTTTCCCTTCCCTTCTCACGATATGCAGGCTGCCTGAACCAGGTCTAGCCTCTACTTTCTTCCTGTCACCAGCACTATAACTTTTTTTTTCTTTGCCATCGTCTAAGGTTCTTTCTGTATTGCCTGATTTGCTTATCACAAACACCCCCACCTCTTTGCTCTTAGAAATACAAGCACTGGACTAATATGACTATCTTCTTGAGGAGGTCTTCTCTTTTGGAAAGCATGAGTTCTGCAGTGTACCTTTACCTAGGCTCAGGAAGCTATTCCTGAGTGTTTCTTGGGTGCTGTACCGTTCATTTTGTGCATATCTCCAGGTAACGGCTCTGTCAACTGGGTAAGCCTCAGTGGCTTAGCTGAATTTTTAAAGTGCGCTCCTACCCGGCTCTGGAAAGACAGACCCCACATAAGCAGAGCTTTCCTCATGCTAGCTCTTTAGACGGATCACAGCAAGGCCAGGGGACAGCATAGAAGAGACCAATCAGCTGTGCCTGGGACCAGGAAGACCGCCTAGCCCAGAGATCTGCTCCAAACAACTGATTGTCTTGGACCCTTTCCGAAAAAGGCTCTGCAGACACGTATTTCTTCAGTGAACTACCAGAGATGGAGGCATGTTGCCAGAAGAACCAGCTGCATTTGGGATTAAATGGCTGGAAAGAAGTCCTCTCTCAGTCTTCAAAACGAAATCACTTTTTAACATCTGCTGCAGAGAGTTCTCGTGACTCACTGTTCCACAAGAAACTATTCTCTTCCTTTTCTTTTCTGTTTCTTTGTTAATTAAGGTTATTTTACTTCCCCTTCCTTGCCCATTGTGTCTGTGTGTGTATTTCCTATTGGATGGAGTGGGAGGAGGAGATTTCTTTTTCTATCCATTTAGTGTTCTTCCGTCCCCTGAAGTCTCATGATAACTGCAGCAATTTTGCACTAACAAGGTGAGCACACCCCAGATAACCTGCCAAGGTCTGTTTGCACTCAGAAAATTGCTTAGAAAGAGGACTTCCTCACTTAACGTTTGGTTTATTGTTGTTTCAGTGCTAAATGAATAATGAGGAGGTTTAAGTAAACAGATGGGTTTGATTTGATCCTATCAGACTTGGGGTGTGGGGGGAGAGGAGCTGCTTGTCCTGACAGCTCATCTCATCAAGCCACACGTGGTGGGAAGTGTTGAAAGAAGTTTATCCCACATAATGCCCAGGCATGATGGGGTGAGCTGGGGAGCAAGTGTATCTCTGTCCTCCCCTTAATTCTTAGTATTCCAAAAGCTTTCCTGAAATTCTTGGATAGTTGCAAACTAAATATAAGCAGCGCTGTATGTTTGGAGTCATGTTACAAAAATCACCTCTTCCCTGTATTTCTTCCACAGTCTCAGCTGTCGACGATGTATTATTGTGGGAAATGGTGGAGTACTTGCAAATAAGTCGTTGGGGTTAAAAATTGATGACTATGATGTTGTTGTCAGGTGAGTCTTTGGCATTGCAGTTTTCTTATCATATATCTACTTTTAAGTTACAGATGCTGATCGCATCAAAGGGAAAGGGCATTCTTTTCAAGCATTCCATTTTCCACAATTATTTGGGAATGTGTTCTCTCCTGTGATCCCACTTTCACCTCCTTTTCGGAGCACCTTTTCTAAAAGCTACCTTTTTAGTGATGCCCTTAGGTAGTGAATCAGTAAAATGTACTGTTAGATCTGCTCCCAAATACATCCCCTAGGTAGTTCAAGTAAGCGTTATTGGTCATACATGTGTCACTTTCCCCAGGACCCCCACCTCTCAGTTAGGAAGGGAAGAACAGAGTACTGTGCAGCATAGAGTCTCAGGAAACCTCCATGAGTGAGGACACAGTAATGGTTAAACACCTCTAAGTATGCCCTAAAAATCATGAATGCTTTGCCTCAGTTTCACTATGGGTGATGATGTTGAATAAGGGAGCAGAGTGGTGTGGAAGTGGAAATGATTGCAGTCAAAGCTAGGACTCTGCTTTCGCTGAGGAGTTGGAGCATCGCCATCTCAGAATGCTGGAAAAACGTGCTGATATGTGAAATCACAGGTCTAGTCATAACTCCTAGTAATAAATCTGTCAAGTGAGGGAGGTGTTCTGGGTGACTGGAGATTAACAAACATAATACCTGTACTAATGGGGAGCGAAAGAGAGTGTGTAGGAGGGAGGGGGACGTGATCTAGGGAGCTACAGACCCATTAGTCTGACTTGAAGAAAATGCAAAGCTTTATAGCAGATTCTGAAGCAAGAGTAACAAAATGTTATGATGGTAAATGAGAAAAGCGGGGTAAACTGCGGTGCAACTTTATCAAAACTGGTTTGACATAGTTTAAGCTGGTATTTTTCCTTGGTAAGATAACTGATTTCATACCGAAGGAAACAAAACTGATTCATCTCTCTGAAACTTAGTCAAGCATGCGATGTGGTAGCAAATGGCAAATTCTTAGCTAAGGTGGAAGAAAGAAAGGGATTAGTGCAAGAATGTAAAGTACACAGAAGGTAACATTTAGCGTGGTCTCCTTTCTCTCACATTGGCTCGTAGCGGGCACATGAGGAGTGAATAGAACACAGATAGGGTCATAATTACCTTCTCAACTTCTGGCAGCATATGTGAAGTGGTGATCTGGACAGAAAGACCACGAAGATCCCTCTCAGTCATTTGTTCCTGTGAACTGTTCCCTGTGTTGCTCTGGACACAGGGATCACTGTTCAGAACAGGACAGAACTTTCACAGCCCTTCTTCAAGTGCATCCCACTATGAGTTACTAGCAAAGAGCTCTTCCTGCTCACTGTAAGTGACTTGCCGTTCTTTGGGCCGAGTTAAAATATGTCAGTCACTCAGTTATAGCCCTTTCTTGGGCTCAGACTGTTCACAAAGTAGCAGGAGAATGATTACAATCCATTTGTACTAAGCCACCTACTGAGATTTACATCAGAAGGTCTACAATTTAATTTCTAAATTAAAAGCCCACCACTTTCTCTCCACATCAGTAAATCTAAGTCAAATTGCAAGCTGAGAGGATAAGAGCGCAGCTAAGCACCTGTGCTGGTTGAGGGATGGATAAAGGACAGAAAAGTCAAATGTAAAGGTTAAGTGAAGCCAGGTGCTTGGATGTGGGACTGAGAAGGTGAGAGGAGACTTCTTAAATGTGTCCACCTGCTTCTTTTAATTCTGTGGAGGCTGGGGAAGGGGTCAAGTCCTTTCTGTTCAGCATCCTTTTTAATGGGTTGCACAACTCCCTTGAATGATCAGATTTGGGATCTAGGGGAGAATTTTTAAAAGGGAAAATGTAGTACATTTGTGGACAAAGGAGTGACCCAGGAGTATATGACGTTTTTTGATGCATTGTGCGTTGCTATGTAAAGACCAATAATTGCAGCAACAAATATTGATCTTGTGGTAAAGAGAGTCAGATCAGCTTTGACAGTTTTAAAACAGTTTGGAGTGAGCTTGGGATGTTTTCTTTAACTGAGTGTTATGAGACTTCAGTGGAGACACTATTCCCAGATGTCACACTCTTTACCTGGCAGGAGCTACTTGGAGCAATCAGCCATCAGAGCTCTGACAAGCAGAAATGCCTCCTTAGAGTAGACTGCAGACAGGATGAAAACAAGCGTGTATCAGAAACTCCTGATTGCAATGAGACAGGGATTTGCCCTGACAATGATACCTAGTGCTAGTGGGAGGATTTTCACGGTGCTCAAGGTAGGAGGAAGTGTCTCTCAGCTGCCTGTGTTGTCGGTGGACACAGAGACACAGAAAGGCTTTGAAACATTTTATGGAGAAACCTGCCTATCCATGGGCTGTACAAGGAGACCTGGCTTACTAACTGAAGTTTTAGAAGATTAAGCAGTATTTATACTCACCAGCGTGTCCTGCCTGAGAAAGGGCTCAAGCTCTCTAGTATGCACCTCTGTGAGCACAGGTTGTGGCTGCCAGAACTTCTCCTGCTCGATTGCCCACGCTACCTCTGGGGCGCTGACCTTTGCACCAGCAGCACTGGCTCATTAGCAGGTCTCCAGTGCTATGACTCCATCAGCAACTCCTGTTTTGGCCCCTTGCTGTGGACTTGAGTTCATTTTATTTGGAGATATGGTTTGTTTTGTTTCCTGTCTAGATACAAAGCAGGAGTCCAAAGTTTTGGGAGCTTTAACAAGGTAAACAGCAAAACAGCTAACCCAGCAGCTGGGGGAAAAAAAAAAAACCCGTGAGAGAGCTACAGAGTGAATTGTGAAAAGACCCCAGATACCAACCTTCCTCTCAAGTCCAAGAAGAAAGATGAAAAGATGTATAAGCAACTTTCTTTACATTGTACTTAGTTGCATTTCTCTCTGTTTCCATTAGGACTAAGCACGTTTATAGTCTGTAGGGTCATCTAGCCCTGGGAGACATAGTGCCTTGAAGTTTAAACTATGTTCATAGTAAAGGTGATTGGTGTCTGAACATGCAGTCCAGAAGAAAAGGCAAGTGATCAGACTGGCTAGGAGCACTGTTTTTGGAGGCAGCTGGGTATTATAGGTACCTTGCAGTCAGGGTTTGGTACAAAGTGAAGGGATATAAACTGTGGAATAAAATTTTAAAAAAGGCTTCATCTCCTTTGTAAACTGTGGTGGTGTTGGTTCTTAAATTGCTTTCCATTTAATATTTTATTCCTAGTGATAAAATAAGTATTAATAAGTTTTTTTTTTTTTTTTTACTAGAGATGCATAAGAATTCTCCTTAATTCTGAATATAATTTCAAATTTTGTACAGAGATTTTCTTCTAGTAAAAGGTTTCCCACCTAAAATTCTTACCCAGGCTGAAAAAGATAAATCCAGATTCTCATTAACATTCCTGCATAACAAAATTTGCAGTCCATAAGCACTTCCCAGTATATTGAACTATCCCAAGTCAAGAAGGCTGCAATAATTCAAGCAAGCAGTGCTGTTCCATGAGGGGCTGCTATTTGATGTCAGCAAGATTTTTATTCCAAGTCACTTGAAATTTCCTCAGCTTTGGGTTTCTAGTATTGAATAGACTGGCCTACGTGTACAAAGAAGTTCTGAATAACTTTAATGTCATGAAAGTCATAATCGCTGTTAACACCAGAACAGTTTGTTTTTTGAAGGGAGAAAAAATTTGTCCCTAAGGGGAGTTTTAATAAAAAAAAAAAAAAACAGCTAAACACATAACATTCTCTCAGAAATCAGTGTTCCCAAGAGTAAAGCTATGTTTCTGCTTGGGTGTTTTCAAAGTGGGATGCAGTTCCACAGCAGAAACTCATCAGTGGTCTAGAGTCAGTGAGACCATAGTGCTGCTGAGCATTATCCAACTGTGCAGCCCAACCTCTTCCTTGTATTGATATTGCAGGGATGAGCCAACTTGGGGAATAAAACCATGTGAAAATTGTTCCATTTTTTGAAAATTATTAGCTTGTTTAGCTCCCTAAACAATCTCTCTGTTCATAAGACAAGCAGTGCAAAATCTGTACTGGGGTACAGATAAGAGCATAAGACCAGCTTCAGGCAGCTTAAACTGCCATGGAACTGCATTGTTGGTTGCAGCACTTTCTTGCACTCATCAAAATCCTGCAGAATTCAGGTAGATATCCTGGGAGTGATGTGATATTAAAATGTTAATGCTTAATTTGTGACTTTAATCTAAACTTGCATGGATGCTATTTTTCAATCTCCTTTTCCAAAGCTTCCAACCTGATTTAAATCACAAGAGTGGTAGTGCAGGAGTGGTTTGTATTATATTAAATCAAATAATTTAAATGGCTTTTAATTAAACTGCTGCCACTTGGTATAAAATATTTGTATAAATGGTATACGGTAATTGGTATAAAATAATAATTTGCAATGAAAATTTGCAAGAGTACTATTTGCTGCCATAGCAGCTCTGTCCAGAGAGCTGAGGACCGGCAGCGATTGCTGTATCGTCAGCATGCACGACTAAATGGGAATCCATGACGTTGTCTTCTCTGGTTGCCCTGCAGGCTGAACTCTGCTCCAGTAAAGGGCTTTGAAAAAGATGTGGGTGGCAAGACAACTCTCCGGATCACATATCCTGAAGGTGCAATCCAGAAAATGGAGCAGTATGAGAAGGATTCACTATTTGTTCTGGCGGGATTCAAATGGCAGGATTTCAAGTGGCTGAAATACATTGTTTACAAGGAGAAAGTGGTAAGAAGACTTATGTGGTGTTATGAAGCCCCACTTTAACTGGAAGCGGTGGGCAGACAAGATATCACAGTTATTTGCCATATTTTGATCTGAGGAGAATTTCTCTGCATGCCTGCCCCATTTAACTGAAGGCTTTTTTATCTCCATGGACTTCAGTTTTAATTAAATATGTTTTTCAAAGACCTCACATCACAGATGAGACTTTCCGTTAAAGATGATGTAGTGCGTGCTACCAAACAGTGTGTGTAATTTTAATTTATTTTAAGAGTACCTGAGAGGACCGGCTGTTGCATGGATTCTGTAGGCTCCTAGGGTTCAAGAGGAGAGGAAGGAGAAGGACAATGTTTTTTGGAGGAAATGGGAGCTGAGGATAAGGGGGCAGTGGCAATAGAGGGGAGGATGAGACAGCAGCAGCAGGACTTGTTGAAAAGGTTACAATCTGCAGACTTTGACCTCCTGAATAGCACAGACCATTATATTTTGCTTAATTACTGCTGTACTGAGTTTCATGTTTTGGTTTTTGGCTAAGTTGTCTGGGAGAAAGGCATTAAATCTAACCTAAAAACATTGAAATGATGAATCTATCACTTTCCCCATGTAGATATTTTGTCCCAGTCAGTCACGTTAGTGCCCTTCTGAAGTACCATGAGGCTATTAATATTCAGGGTTGTTCTCTATTTCATCCCTCCTGAAAGTAAGCAGGTTGTGATCACTGACTGCTCATGCAGTGGATGGTTCATCGTTTCCTGTTAGAATAAATGACCTCTGCTTCAGTATACTGTTTGTTTTAGAAAATTTATATTTCTGTTTTCAGATGCTTATTAATGATTTTTTTAGAAAATAAGCGGACAAACGGACTAATGTTTGGAGAATGGGATGTCATGTTGCGTGCTTGGAGACCAAAATAGGAGGTTGGCAGCTCCCCACGTACAGAATGAAAACAGTCTGGGAATATAATTTGATATGGCTGTTATATAGATGGCCTTAGGGTTTATACCTTCCTCTTGCCTCATGCTGGCACCACCTTCCAATTATTTTCCTGGTACTAGACAGGTAAGGTTACCTTTTATCCTCCGGGCAAGCGCAAGTGGGCTTTGGTAACATAATAATTGAGTCAAAAGTTCTTTTCTTTGTTTTTTGTGTCATGCTCCTATTCTTCATTCTGGGCAAGGGAAAATCCTGTATTTATTGTACAGATCATGTCAGTGCTGTGCCACCTGAGTGCAGCTGTAGGAACTCCTAGGTTTGGTTTGAAGTCCAAGGATGGAGTGGTGGGATGCTTGCAGTCATGGAGGCTGTACAGAGAGTGTAGTGTGGTGTCCCCTGCTCCTGGAAAGATGCAGCAAGCAATTTGGAGAGCTCCTGTTGTAATCTTCACTGAATGTTTCAGCACTCAGCCTGACAGAGTGCAGAAGGAAGTTGAACTCCTTGCATTGCGAGTTACTTGAACATGCTTGTGGTTGGTTCCTCAGCCTTCTCTTCTTTGAAATAAGCACTCCATTTTTTTTCAGTTCTTGTAGGTGATGTTTTCCAGACCTCTTATTCAAGTTGCCCTTTTGACTGTCTGCAGTTGCTTCATATTTTTCTTAAAAAGCAGTGCCCAAAAGTGTACGGAGTGCTGCAAATAGAATAGAGCAAATGACTAGCCTTGTAGTCCTCATTCTTTATACGTTCAGTGTTGTGTTTGCTGTTTCCACAGCGGCATGATGTTGAAGGCTAGTGTTAAGCTCTGATCTACTCTGACTCTAGTCTCTGAGGGACTGAAAAACTGCTGCCTCCCCAGGTTTGCACCCTGTGTTTGTGCAGTTGGGTCTTCCTGCCAAAGAGCAGTTCTGTGTGCTTTTCCGTACCACTTTTTTCTTCCAGACTATTTATCCAATTTGTCAAGGTTCTTTGGCACAGCTTTCCAACATACCTGCCATTCTTGCCAGCTTCATGTCCTTTGCAATTTAATAAACATAGTTTTTATTCCATCATCCAGGTTAATAATGAAAACGCTGAAAAGATTTGGATCTTAGGTAAACCCCAATGTGAAACATCCTTCCATTTCTATTGTGAATCCACTGATAACTCCTCCTGACTAGTTTTTGGGCCACTTCTGAAGGTCATATCACAGTAGTTTCATTAACAACAAGTTTCTTCGTGCTTGTGAAAGTGGTATGTCAGAAGCCTTAGTGAATTCAGGTACATATCTTGCTTCTCCTCTCTGATAGTTATTTTCTTGTAGAAAGAAATTCTAATGGTTTGATAATGATTTGTTCTTAACAAATCCACAAAGGTTGCTGCTCATCTCTGTCGCTTTTTTCAGGTGCTTGCAAATAATTGTTTGCTCTTCTGAGAACTGCAATTGTAGATTGACTCTCTTTACTTTTGTCTATTTTTTTCAATCCTTTGACAGCCTACCCTACACGCATTCCCAAACAGTGAACCAGTTCATTAAATACTTTAGGATGAAGTCCAGTTGACTAGAAAACATCTGTCTTGTCCTCTCTAGCCTGGTCCCTCTCTATTTGAGGCTAAAATCTTACTCCACTATTGCTGGCTTTAACTGCAAGCAGGTGGCGAGCACAGCTGCTCTTTCTAATAGAGACTGATGCAAGAAGTGTTGTCTCTTAGCTAGAAGAAATGACCCCATGGAGAGCTAACAGTGCCATGGGAATAAGATGTAGGCGTCTGTTTGTTCTGGTAATGAGTATTAATATTTTTATCAGTGTGTGATAAGTTCAAAATGACAAATGCCTGCCCAGTGCTCTCTGTGGAGAGTTTCTGTTTCTCTCTCAGCTGGTTTTCTGGGGCAAAGGGAGTTCTTTCCTTTCCTGGATTCATCTAGAGACACTTGTTTGACCTGAGGACTCTTCATGCCACTGTTGCTTACTCTTTATCTGAGTTTAGGCCTGTCCCTCTACAAGATGTCATCCCTGTTGCAAACCAATTGGTACAAACAGGAGTCTGACCTCAAAACAGAGATAAGGGGACTGGAAACATCCTGCTAAAGAGCAAGACTGCTGTGGAAGTGGATGTGTTCCTCCATAAAATGAGCCAAACTCTGTCCTCTATTTCCTTTGCCTTTGAACTTTGATGGCGACTGCATGTTTGTGTTGTACAGTCATGGCCGGGATATCGGGAGTTTTGATTTCCTTGAGACATCACTTGAACAGGACCCACTTGGACCTGCTTGATTGGGGATTCTGTGCTGGATACTGCGATCCTTGCTTAGTCCTCTCTCGAGTAAGTGAAATCAAAGGGAATTTATCTGAGAAGGAGTAAATGGAAGACAAGTGGCTATTTATTGCTAGGGTCAATGGTCAGATAAGCTTACTCTGTGCAGCTGAGAAGGATTTGCTCTGTGTTATGTTAGTGTTTTGGCAGCCCTTGCACACTGAGGAAGGGATAAGTACTTCGCTCTATAGAGAGGAGGATTTTCAGGAGACATTATAAGGAAAGAAAAAGTGTGGTGCAGAAGAAGCAACAAAACAGTGAGGCAGAGGATTTGGTGCATAACGCTCAGTACGGTGAAACAGCCTTCTGGAGACTGCATGATCCTCGGTGACCTGGAAGGTGCTGTGCACAGAAAGAGCAGCACTGGACTATATACCACAGAAAAAGTAAAAGCTCAGCTGCTTTCTGTTTCACACTAGAATAGGAATATTTGGAAGCAAATAAAAAATGAGAGAAGAGATTAAGCTAGAAAAGGGGCAAATTTGGGTAAATATTCATACTGGGTCAGCAGCAAAATAAGGGTAGTTTCTGTCACAGCATTCTGGATGCACTGGCACTTGAATTCGCAAGTCTGGTAGTAAGTTGGGGCAGCAGTGTATCATTGGAGTATATAGACCTGTATATAAGAGGGGAAAAGTGGATAGGTCCGGGCGACTAAAACCCTAGTAATCTGATTTCAGACATTTGAGAAGCATTAGAATAAACTGTGAAGGAGAAGATAATTGCACATGTTGCAGGTAAATGGAGAGAAAGGGGTGGAGGGTGGAGAAAGGTGACATGTTTAGCAAATGAGAGGATTGCACCACACCAACCTAATACACAGATGTACAAGTAGAAGAGTGGGTTGGAGTCCCACAGCCAGCAATTGCAGAAAACTGAAAGGTCACAGATGTCTGTTGTTCGTGCATCCTTGGTGACTGGTCTGAAGAGTGCTTTGGCAGTGCTGACGCGCAGTCGTTGCTGTGAGAGCTTGCTGACGCTTCCAGGCATCCCTCCTCTGACTAAAAGGCTGCTGCTAGCACATCCCTAGATGTGGAGTACTCCTGGAGAGTCATCAGAACAGTTATACGCTCTCCTGGACTGTTTATGTCCAAGATACATTGTCCACATGTTTTGATCTACCCTGCTCTTCTGAAGCAAACGGATGAACTTACAACACAAACCAGCCAGTACCAAACGGCACTGGAGCCGATTCCAGGGTGGTTGTTTGCACATCATGACTGAATCAAAGGGAACGCTTCTGTTTGCTTAGGGCTCGCTTTCCCGAACAGCGAGCACGTGGTAAAGCAGCCAAGTGAGGGCAAAGGTTTCGCTAGAAATTGGCAGCTCCTGAGCTTCCTTCTCATGTGGTAATGAGCTTGCTGCCACTTCCAGCCTGAATCTCTGCAGCCTTTGCCAGAAAGGAGTCACTTGTGCAGTACGTGCCTGCGGCACCTTGAAAGCTCTCTTTGATAGTGAAAATCATAGAAGCGAGTGAGCACCTGCCTGCGAGCAAGGCCAAGTTCGGTTGTCCGTCCCTTGCAGGGGCATGCCTCTGAGAGATTGTACACTGCAGTGATGCCATCTGAAGAGCAGTCATCCTCCAAGCAGATGTTGAGGCTTAAGCAACAGCCAGGACGTAACCTCTCCTTCCTTCTCCCATAACGTGGCTGTTGTCTGTGGGGATTCAAGAGCCATCCAGTGGTTATACAAGTGCACCTTTCTCTTTGAGCTGAGTGTTTCTTTCCAATCCTAACCTAGGACTTCATCTCCACTGCTGCCAGTTTCTATTTTTGGGCCTT